GTCCTTCACATTCACTACATTTAGCATCTAGAACTCTTTTTTCTTTCTTTCTTTCTTTTTTTTTTTTAAGAGAGATTTTTGTTCTTATAAGTCTCTGAGTAAAAATTAGCTTCTGAAATACAGTGTGTAACTTTTTGAGATTGCAGTCTTTTTTGTAAACTGCAAGAAACTAATGGTTCCTTAAAGAAACTACATAAAGATAGTGTCAGCATTTTCAGTATAAACCTTGGTTTCCAACAGCTTATGCTTTGTGAAGAAATTTGCTTGAGGGTAAAACTTGGCATATGTCTGAGACCTGACGGTCCACACTTTGTTTCATAGATATTTGCAAAGGAGTCCTTCACATTCACTACATTTAGCATCTAGAACTCTTTTTTCTTTCTTTCTTTCTTTTTTTTTTTTTTTTTTGAGAAGTTTTCGCTATAGGGCGCGTGCACTTGCCAGACAGAGAGAGACTAGAGACAGAAAGCGAGAAATCACCTCCCAGGGCGGATGGCCACGCTGCAATCCCTTCTCCTCCATTCTCCTCTCGGGATCTTGGGCACGCACGCACACGCGCCCAGCGTGAGTTTTAAGCCACCGGGTCCGGGACGCGAACCGTGGTTAACTACGTGGGAGTCCAGCAACATAGCCATTACGCTAACTGCTGGTTCCCAGCATCTAGAACTCTTAATAAAACAATGCCTTACTAGTGTTTCTGAACTTAGTATCAGTGCACAAGCTCTTAGAGAATCAAAGAACTCATGAACTCCTAAAATTCTACTCTGTATATTCTGGTGTGACAATATTGTATGTTAGATGGAAAGGACTAGTTTAAGACAACAAAATGCCAGAAAGTGTTGGTGTCCCTAATAAATCACCAGACTTAGAATTCCTTTACCATTTTTCCTACCAAAATTCCTCCTCTCTCCTATTCCCTGTGACTGCCCTGTCAGCTTGGGTTATTGGTGGACTTTATGTATGGGGCCTATCTGCAGATGATCTCCAAAAGGCAAGAGAAATCTCACTTTGTTTTCTTTTATTTTTAAGTTTATTCATTAATTTCTTCTGAGAGAAAGAGAGGCAGCACACCAACAGGATCCAATTCCATGATGATCCAACCCCAGCTTCAGACAGCCCTGGATCATGGGGAAGCGAATTCTCTGTACTCAGGAAGTCTCCAGACTTTAACCCAAACCTCTCCATATGTGATTACCTTATGGAACATTATTTTTTAGCATGGATGGTGACCTTGTTACTCATTTTACTTTGAATCTTCATTTATGGAGACTGGATTAAGTTTCCTCCAAGTATAAAATACATCATCAGGAGGCAGTGCCCATCACCAAGATCAGGGAGAAATGTAAACTCTAGGGAAATCCTGGCACACAAGTCTAAGCATCCAATCGAAGAGGGCAAAGGAGATCGTTACCAGGCAGTTGTGATTCGCAGGTACTGTATAGATAAGGAATATAGGCCCCCTGCACAGGGGCAGACAACTAGGTAGATGTCAAACATGTTGCCAGGCGACTCTAATGTAATAACGGGCAGCTCCAGAACCAAACTAGAATTTCAAGCTGCTACCAATTCCAGAGAAGATACTAGATGCCTTGCCTAAGAGCAGATTCCAGACTGTGAAACTTCTGCTGACCTAGATGCCTTGGTGACTATTAACTGAATGGGCTTCACTTTTGAACTTACCTGTGCTTTGCAAGGAGGAGAGTGGGAATCAGTATAGCTTGCTAGTTAATTGCATGGTCTTTGTAGTCAAGCAATCCTAGATTCAAATCCAGGCTCTTTGTAGCCTATGGTCTTGGACAGGTTATTTAACCTCACTGAGCTGTTAATTTTTCATTTGTACATAGCAGTAATGGTTCTTACCTTAGAGGGTTGTGAAGATGAAGAGATGGTACAAAGAAGGCAATGAGCTCCTGGCAGCTGTAATACTAGCTAAACTTTTGATGATCCATCTTTGGGAAAGGAAAAGAGCCCCTGATGTCTTGCCCTGCTGAGTACTCTTTGGTTCAGGGATAGGCAGTAAATTATTAGGGCAGGCAGTGTAGGGTACAGAGAGTCTAACACATCCAAACTGTTACATCTCATGAGCATTTGATTCCCATCCCCAAAGACAGGGTTAGTTATGATGAAGATGCACTTAACCCTGTGTGTCCAAAATATTTTAGACATTCAGAATTGCCCCGAGTTCAATACCTGGACATGCTAAATGTGAAGAATATTGTGTATCTGCACTAAATTTAAAGAAAAGACACAGAAATCTGAATGCCGTCTTTTTGTTTGTTCGTTTGTTTAATTATAGGGCTCATGCACTTGCCAGAGAGACCAGTCTCCTCTCAAGATTTTGGGCAAGCATACACACACATACCCTGCATGAGTTTCAAGTCAATGGGTCCAAGACTTGAACCACAAATCCACTGGGATCCAGCACCTTAACTTCCATGCCACGTGCTGGCACGCATCTTACTTTTTATTTGCTTGTTTGTTTGTTCTTTTTTTTTTTTTTGAGAGGTTTTTGCTATAGGGTGCATGCACTAGCCAGAAAGACAGAGAGACAGAAAGCAAGAAATCACCCCCCAGGGCGTATGGCCACACCTCAATCTCTTCTCCTTCATTCTCCTCTAGGGATCTTGGGCATGCACGCACACGTGCCTGGTGTGAGTTTAAGGCACCGGGTCTGGGACTCAACTACTTGGGAGTCCAGTAGCACAGCCATTACACCAACTGCTGGACCCTACTTTTTTAACTCTTCTGGCAATGCCCCTTCATGTAGACAACTGATTATTTCTCAAAAAACTATAACAATTAAATCTCCTTAATTGTGAAGAAAATGAATAGGAAAGACAATGAATAATTTTTAGAACTGGTTGAAAGTAAAGCTGATCAGGTCCTAAGATGAATGGGGTTTAAATTTAGGGGACCAGCAGTTGGTGTAATGGCTATGTCACTGGATTCCCATGTAGTCAAACACGGTTCAAGTCCCGGACCTGGTGGCTTAAACTCACATGGGGTTCGTGTGCATGCGTGCCGTAGATTTCGAGAGAAGAATGGAGGAGAAGTTATTGCGGCATGACCATGACTCCTGGGGGGTGATTTCTCGCTTTCTGTCTCTCTCTGTCCTTCTGGCAAATGCACATGCCCTATAACAAAAACCTCTCCCCCCCAAAAAAAAACAAAATGAGTCCTTGTAATCCTGGGAATGAAAGACACCTGTCAGGCAGCTGAATTGGGCTCTTACAGCCCATGACTCATCTTAGACCTGATGGTATGTGAGATGGTTAAATTGCCCCTTATTAGAAAAAAAGATGTCTGTGTCTCCCTCCCAAATATCTCTTTGGAGGCTGAAGCTTCTCTTTTAATAGGAACTTCATCTTCCTAGTAGTTCTAAAAGCAAGCACCAAACCAGCTCAAGCCTACAAGAGTCATCTCTGTATCCATGCCCACCCTTAGCTTTTTATGAAATATTAGGACATTTCTAGAATTCTATTCACTTAAAGCAGAGAGGTACTAAGGAGAAGTCTGTAGAAATGGGCAGATTCTGCAGTTTGGGTACTATTAGGTTGTCAGGAAAGTCATGACATATTTTTCTATGCAAAAATGCATCATGACTTTCCTGACAGCCCAATAATTCCTTAATATCAAATGAGATAATGGTAAAACAAAAATACTTAAGGATGAACTATTTACAGCTCAGATTTCTACTAATACATACACTGTATAGGTTGCCATTTATCATTCCGTTCATTTGGCTACCTCATAATGTGCCAGGTATCATTCTAAATTCCAGGGATTTGATGCTGAACATATTTTAACCTTCACTATAACTTTATGGGGAATCTGAGACACTCCTGAAGAGCTTTAGGCTGTTGCACAGGGGTTCACACAGCTACTAGCAGAGACCATGCCACAAGTCACTGTTCTATAAAGCACAAAAGAAAGGGTAGCTGTTGAGTTTCTTTATAAAGATTACTGTGCAGCAATCTGTTCTATTCTACACCATACCTAACACAGTGCTGAGTTATACTTCCTTCCCAGACTGAGATTCACAAAATACAGGATGAAACTAAAGAAGCTTAATTTTAAGATTATCATATGAATAGCACACTTGCTGGTTGACAACCAGATCTTGGAAGCTGTCTCTATGGTTTATATAAGTCACACCACCATTTCATAAATTAAATATGTAGTCATTTTTTTCCCAGATATCGTTTTTTCATCTGTGTCTAAAACTTTTTGAAGATGAGACATAATTAAAGAATATGTCACATACATGGTGAGATCAACTTAATAGGCTCTGGAGAATGGCAGGATCCCTAAGAGTGACAAGAAATCCAAAGAGCACTGATGAGTTTGATATGGCACAGAGTGGGCGTGAAAGACAGGAAGTAGCTCTGTAGTCTTCCCAGTAAGGTGTCAAGTGGTAATTGAGTCAAATGAAGGCCACATGACTAGCGTGATTACCTGGGTAAGGTACTCTTTGGGATGACTCTTCTAATGGTGAATTATTTGTCGTTACAGTCAAATTAAGAGGCCAGAGATTTAGTGATCTGCTAAATGAGTGATAATTATGCAGGAGTTAGGCAGATTACAAACTAAGAATGATCTTTACTAGGATAGCACTTCAATTTGTTTTGTGTGTTTATTACTTACTTCAATTAATAAATTCTAACTAATTAGTTGAAGTCTGATTCTCAGGTTAAAATAAGAGTGATCAAATATAGTTTCTGTCTGTATTTACTTTTCTTTTTTTCTATTTTAACTCTAGAAAGCTATCCAGATTATATGTACATGTAACTCTTGCTGTCTATAATAGGCTGGTCTTCTAATTTCATATTACATGAAGGGAAATTTACCATATCATTAATGCTATTCCCAAACAATCATTTTTCATCAATTCTTCTTTCTATCAATAGATGTCTCCTTCCCCCAACCATAACCAAATACCATAATCCTTTTGTCCTTTCACGTGCACCTTCTCTGATCCTCTCTCTGTAACTCTATTGCAGAGTCAAACTGTCAGATGAGAACATTGGACAGTGGGATCGGAACCTTCCCACTCCCAGACTCAGGAAATCGCTCAATGGGACGGTACCTGTGCCAACCAGACTCTCCAGAGGACACTGAGCCCATGCTATGTCTCCAGCCAGTCCTTTCTGAAGCTTCTTCCATCAGAGCCCAAACCCTTGAACGAGAAGTGCCTTCCTCCACAGACAGCCAGCACTCTGCAGATAACGCCATGGTTCATTCCACATCCGATCCACTCATGTCTGCAAGAGGGATGCGGCCTCTTCCAAGTCGTCTTCCCAAACCAGCGTCCTCAGGTGAAATGACAATTGCCTTTTAAATTAGGCCATTTCCCATCCATAATAATGAGTACACTTGATAACAAAAATAGAAAACTCCACCAGGATATAAGTAAGCCAGTGACCTTTGCCAGATGGAAATGTGGATATGTGCAAATTCTCACATGTCCTACACCTAAAAGTAAAACAACACAGATAAGACATTAGCTACTCATAGCACAAAGTTAGAAATGGATACACAGAAAAGGAAAGAAAAGTGTAGGTACCAGTATATGGACATATAAATTGATTAAGGGAAAAAAACACACATAACATGTATTCATGGGATTTTATCTTATAAAACTTAACTGAATATAAACCAATTTAGATCCAAGACATCAATTCAGTGAAATGTTGTTTGTCCTCTAACCAGACACATATGTCTTCTGACGTATTCCTATCCTGTTCAAATATATTTATATGTTGAACTATAAAATTCTTAGTTTGATATATCAGCAGCAGATTGTGCATTAACTGCAGTGGAATGGAGCGAATCTTCCCACCGAGAAGCACCATCCTTTGTTGCAGTCAATCAAAGTAAGCTTTCATGATTAAAGGAAGGGCCACCCTAAGGGTCAGAGTTTTTCATTGTTCCCTTGAGATTAAAAATATTTATTACAGCCCAGAATGACACTAAATAATTTTTAACTTATGTGACTTATGTCATTTTTACGACATACATAAGCATATGAACTACAACTCTAAATTGAACATTTTCATTTATGATTCAATGATTAGAAAGGAGCCAGAACTGGAGATTATACTATATGCTTCCGAGAAACTAGAGAGAAGACTTTTAATTAAACTTCTTTGAATAAATATGCTTGGGCCTTTCCGCTGGCTGTGTTCTTCCTTCACACGGTAATACCAACTGCAATGAATGTTTCATCACAAACTTTTACTCATTCTAAACCAAGGCTACATTTTTAAAGACAGTAATGCATATGATATGTGAAATAAATGCATTGTTAATTAATGGCACAGCCTCCAGAGATTCAGGGGCAAAATCTTAGTTATAGATTATGTGCTCCATGCCTGAATAGTCACATGTGTGACCTCAATTCAGCAGCAGGCTACCGAGTAGACTCCATGATTAAACACTGTCATTATAACAAATTGAATAGAAACCACAAGCCTTGAATTGCTTCATAAGAAGGGGATAGATAGGAAGGAGATTGTTCTGATCTTGCTGCTAATATTCACTGCACTGGGTTTCTAAGGGTTGTGTCCTAATTAAATTGTCATGAAGAGTTGTAAAAAAGTAGTATATGGTATAGAGTGAGGTGAACACACTGCAGGACATTATTGTGTTGCCCATCCAAAAATTTCCTACCCACCAAATGGTATCTGTGATCCAGACGCAGGGCTGCATTTCCGGTGCTTCTCTTCTCTTCATGGCCATTTGCTATTTTTATTAAAAATTAAGAAGCAGAGAACTGCTGGAACAAAAGGAAAAACAGGGTTGTATCTGCCTAAGAGGACTCACTTCCCGTCTGGAGTCAACATTTGAGTTGGTTTTTCCCTTATCTCCATATGAAAAATAAAAGTAACTGTACAAATCTCATAGTGCTGATGAAAACACAATTCCTTAGCTTCTCCTGACAAGCAAAATGCTGAAGAGAGACCATCATGGCATGCCCTGTTGATAATTGTTGAGGTTGGAGGATAAAAATAGTAATTTTCCTTTCTGTCATGATGAAGGAATACATTCTCAGGTTAACATATTATCATGGGTAATGGAGAATCTTTCTTTAATCATTCTCTGCTAATTACATCATTGCTACTCAAAGTGTGGTCCTTGAGCCAGCTTGTCAGGAATGCAGAATCTCAGAGTCTACCTCGCATCTACTGAAACAGCGCCTCTAACTTAGCAAATATTTGTCTGAGGTGTGTGCATATTAACATGAAAGTTCAAAACATACTGCCCTGCAAGATCTTTTAAGGGCCTCTGAGCAGAGTTTTTCAAACCACATTATTCAAAATAGCCTTAGTAAGTGTTCTAGAAAAATAAGGATTCCCTGCTCAAAAATGGAGAAAAACTCATGATAAATGCAAGTCCTCTTTTGGGACAAGACCCATTAGCACACTGAAGACCCTGAGAAATCCTCCAGAAGTAAATTTGTTTGTTATTTGGCGAATAACATTATTTGAAGAATAACTTCAGTGTTCCTCAAATGAAACATTCTAACCTAAAAAATCTTTCAACATTTGATGGAAACGTGGTCCAAGGACAGTTTTCCACAAGGGTCTCCATGATGGACCTCCTCTATAGACATGTGGACATAACATTAGACATTTTGGTGGCACAGACTTGCAGGGAATGGAATAGCTGGACACCCAGCTTTCACTGTATGTGGACCTTTTTAATTGACTGTTTCCCCCGTATCCCTCCCTGAACTTGTAAAAGTTTGATGAAAGCTAATTTGTGATTTCAAACACACTTTCTCATTTAGGAAAGATCAGCTCCCAAAAGCAGGTTGAAGAAGGGCCACGGCCTCAGACTGGCTCATCATTCAGGTGTATGGAGGACACAGCAGCCAGCAAGACGCTGCCACAGCCTCAGACTTGCTCATCGTTCAGGTGTACGGAGGACACAGCAGCCAGCAAGACGCTGCCAGCCTGGGGGGGTGATGACAGTGCTGCAGAAACTCAGGTGAGGGTGAGGCTGATGGGAGGGTGCTATACACCTGCTGATCCTGACCATGAAAAATGAACTCTGTAGCCACTTTTGTGATAGATTTAATTCTAAATCAAATTTGCTGTTGGCTTATTGAGTCCAAACCAAGATCTGAGAGTCACCCTTTCTCTGAATTATAAAGGGCCACTGTGGGTTCTTGAGATATCTTTATTCTGAGGAGTTCAAAGTACTTTTGCTTTGCATCAAGATAATGGGGTATAGGTCATCCCCTGGTAAACTTTGCAGAAAAACCTTCACTCTCCCAACCCAATAAGGACATCATTTAGAATGATAAATTTTTTTCTATTTTTTTGTTATCTCAGAAGTTACTTTAACCTTTACCTTGCTCTACTGAGACAGGAAAATTAAATATAATTCTGTTCCTTTTAGAGATGAATAGACTAAGGTTTAGAGTGGTCACATGACTTGCCAGGGTCAATAATAAAGACCTGCTTCTCTAGGCTCCTGCATTTCTGTATTGGGTTCTTCTTTCACCCTAAGATGACAATGCCACATACAGGCCTTCTGTGGTGGGAGTCTCTCAAGAACGCTAGGCCAAAGCCATAGGGATTACTTGGCATCTCTTTTCATTTCCTCCTTCCAGGTGGTTATTTTGACCCTGTTCAGTATGTTCACTTTTTCTCAGCTCATCCTGGGGCTGGCCCACTGCAGGTGGTACCTCCCAGTGAGAAAAATGGAGAAAAGATATATGGGTCAATTGCCAAAGCCTCTTGCCCTTCCTTGGCCATTCCCATTTTTGCTGCCTTTGACTCCCACAATTTTGACATCAAGAGCCTCCAGCACTATTTTCACTATAGTTTCTGCCCAACTCTGATAAGGAAATACAAAATCCACCCATATCTGAGGTCACCCCACTTAGTGTGGCTGTGCCTTCTCTCAGCCTGAGCCCTTCAGTATGAAGATGAGAACTGGAACCCTAGACAGAAGAAATTCTCTGGGCCCAGAGCACCAGCCTACAGCAGAGTACACCAACTCCAGAGACATGCTGGACGGTGATAGGGCACAAGGGAGATGAGACTTGAACTGGACTGTCTGAATCCTTATGTAATACCCAAATGGCTACCTTCACAAGACATGGATCTGAGAGGCAAAAGAGTAAACAAACGTGCATTCCGTCATGCCTTAGGTTAAGCATGAATAGTTAAGACACCTCCAAATCAGTGGCTCCTAAATGTAGGTAAGATTCAGAATCACCTGAAGGACTTCACATCTCACTGCCTACATGTCCACACAGTGTCTGATTTGGTACACAGAGTGAGATCTAAATGTATCTAGCAAATTCCCAGGTGATGCAGAGTCTGACGGACCAGCATACCCACTATGCAAAATGTTGCTACCACAGCTCCTGGGGACTTAGTGTTTGCTTAGGAAACCAAAGATATTGAAGGAAACCTAAAAGACCCCCAGAGTTGGAAAGGGGAAAAACAGTTCAGAACAATAGTGGGTGACAGTAACAAAGAAATCTGAGTAATTTCAAGAAGAAGGAAAAAAAAAAAAAAAAAGAAGTTAGTGCTAGCCCAAAGGGGATCTGTCTCCCTTACAGGTCATTGCGAAAAAAAGAAGTTAGTGCTAGCCTAAAGGGGATCTGTCTCCCTTACAGGTCATTGCTAGGCACTCCTTACACAACATGTACATCCACCAGTATGTGCTCTTGTCTGGGCCCCCTTCTTGTCATCCTGCACCAGCTTTATATGCTGACAGTGCCTTGGAACTTAAACTATGCCTCACTGACTGCCAGATAGGAGAAATTCAAAGTAAGAATTAGTTCTCTATTTCCAGTACCCAACACAAGGCCTGTTCATTGAATGCAGTGAAGAGAAAATGCATCTCATTGTACCCAGAAATTGCTCCTGGAGTCCTTTTGGAACTTTGAATACAGATTTCTCTGGAATCATAGTCACTAGATTTGTCATCCTTCAGAGATATGATCCTAGCCAGTCTATTGGTATCACCAATATTGAGCTCTGTACCCCTAAATCCTCCCTAGCACACTGATCAGCATAGAGTAAGTACTCAATGAACACCTGTTGGCTGGGTGGGTGAACAAGCAGATGAATGAAGGATTAAAGGAAGTGAGTGAGTGCTTGAGTTCATAACCCAGCTGAGGAGATTACTTCCTACTGTGTGTGTGTGTGTGTGTGTGTGTGTGTGTGTGAGAGAGAGAGAGAGAGATGTAATCCCCAACCTCTGAGAAAACTTTAGAGACTCATTCTGTGCATCCACTCTTGAACTGTTTGAGATAGGTGGACTATTATTCTATAGTCTATAGTAATAGACTCTAATATGGCAGTTTACACACATGAAAGAGGGTCCCAAAGACTCACTCAGTGTCTGATTTGGTACTTAGGACACAGAAGCCAGCAAAATGCTGCCAGCCTGGGGGCAGGGGAGTGAAGACAGGGTGAAGACAGTGCCACAGAGACTCAGATGAGGGTGAGGCCGATGGGAGGGTGCTGTATAACTGTTGGCCCTGACTGTGAAAAGTGAATTCTGGGGACCATCAGTTAGCATAATGGTTATGTCACTGGACTCCCATGTATTCAACCATGGTTCGTGTCCTGGACCCGGTGGCTTAAACTCACGCCGGGCGTATGTGCGTGCGTGCCCAAGATCCAGAGAGGAGAATGGAGGAGAAAGGATTGCGGTGTGACCATCTCCCCTGGGGGGTGATTTCTCACTTTCTGTCTCTATGTCTCTGTCTGTCTGGCGAGCACATGCGCCCTATAGCAAAAACATCTTCAAAAAAAAAAAAAAAAGTGAATTCGGTAGCCACTTTTGTGATAGATTTAATTTGAAATCAAAGACCCCTAACTCGACACATAGGAGATGTGCTCCTAGATCCACTATTCTACTTAGGTGTACAGAGGGAGTATCTGTTCAGACAGTACCAACTACGTCAGTCATTCCTGAACATGGCATTATTGCCACACCAGTGACATCCTTGGAGGATCAGGCTTATGTGTGCCTGTGAGCAAGAAGGGGCGCTGATTCCTTGGGCCATTGGCTATCAGTAAATTAGAGGATGATACAGAGTCAGCAACTGCTTACTTTCCTAAAGGCTACTGTCCTTTTGGGGCCTGGAAGAAAGTGATAAGTTAGCAAACATTTATTCTTTTCTTCCCAAGGTTGATGTTTTTAATACTCTCTGATACTCAAAAGCCAATGATGAGATCAGTTAAATAAATAAACTGTTAGACTTGGAACAACAGCTTGTAATAAGCACTGGGCAGAAATAAGCTCCTTTCTATATAAAGAAGTGTACAAAATGCAGAGCAGGTGACTGTGGGGACCTTCCTGAGCCCGGGTCAGTGGCAGAGCAGTTGTTAATGCAGACCTGTTTCTGCAGCCCTGACAATGGGCCTGGCATGCCACCTCACGGCAAGCAGAGAAACCAGCCAGCCAGAGTTGTAGGGTGGGGGTGCGGTGTGGATGGACTTCCCTCACACGACCACAGCCAAATGCTTCACGTCCTCACAGGATGCTCTGCCTCACTTTGACCTGTGTGAGTCATCTTAACAGTATCATATTACTCATTAGGATGAGGTACGCAGAACATGTCCCTACTCTGCCAGTGGCGGGAGTGATAGGGACAGTGACCCAGATTATGGAAATGCTGGTTTTGGAGCTGGAAGGGGGAAGTTAGTGAAGACAATGCAGAATGCCACGCCAGGTAACACACACAAGCACACTGGACCTGCAGGCTCTGCTCCCTGGGAAGCCGCTGATTATGCCTTTCACTGTGCTCAGCCCCCATTCCTCTGACTTTACATTTGAGCTCCATGTCTCTCTTGAGATCTAATTTTCTGGTACGTTCGGAAGATTGTCTACGCACATCAATTTGTTTTCTGGTATAATCTTCATGACATTGCAGTATAGTCTGTAAGATTGTATTTCCAAATGTAGCATCTCTAAAAGAGCCTCAATTGAGTTATCTCAATAATGAAGGAATGACTATAAAGATAACTTTGCTCTTAATTACATGCTTTGGCAAGTTTAGTCATCCGTCGAGCCATAGATGGAGTTTTCCGGGCTCTTTGCTAACATGCTATGTAACTCTGGACCTGTTAGCTGTGCCATTAGAAACAGATCTGTTTGTGAGGTTGAAGCTCCCTCACTATCTTTTTCTGTGAATCAGAATTGGCAAAAGAAAAGTCATCAGCCCTAGGTACTGCCTTACAGATCGCAGAGGGGCAATGAACCCTAACACAAAGTGTGGTCTGGAGCCTGCTTTTCTTCTAATATCGTCTTGTCAGAAATACTTTAATGATGCAATGAAGAATTATTATTTTTCCTACTAATCAACTTTTTGTCAAATATTCATTTAGAAATTAGATGATAAAAGCATACCTTCCTTCTTCTTCTTTTTTTTTTTTTGGAGAGGTTTTTGCTATAGGGCACATAAGGCACATGCGCTCGCCAGAAAGACAGAGAGAGATAGAGAGACAGAAAGCGAGAAATCACTCCTCCTCCCCCAGTGGGGATGGCCATGCTGCAATCCCTTCTCCTCCATTCTCTTGGGATCCTGGGAATGCACATACACACACCTAATGTGAGTTTAAGCCACCAGGTCCGGGATTCGAACCACAATTGACTACATGGGAGTTCAGCGACATAGCCATTATGCTAACTGCTGGTCCCCATACTTTTCTTTTTAAAAACAAGTCTGCTATGTTGCTTTGAAAAAAAATGAAATCAAGCAGCCATGTGTGTTTCCAGTTTTCAGAGAGACTTGGCATTTCTAACCCTGGTGAGATTAATCTACCATATAGGAATTGCCCATTAATCCTTTGTTTCTTGCATCATGGGTCCACAATTACTTCACCTCACCACTCCTTAGCTGCCCATCTGAGAATGATTCCCAGCCCCCTTCTCGCTCAAAAACGTCTATCCACTAGTGAGCCAATATTTATTGAAAGCTTCCTTGGAGTCAGCATTCCAGAGGTGGACAAAGCAAA